AATTTTAATTCATCTCAAGTCTTGGCCTATTTCCCTCTTTCTCTCTTAAATTTTTATACCAAATAGTGATCCCCATTAATTTTTAATTATACAACAAAAAATTGTATTTTATCGATTAAAGGATACAATTTAGCAGTTTAGAAGTTTCAAGGATGTAATGTCAGATAAATTGTTGAATATTCTAAAAAGCAACCATGATTTTCTTTTGATTCTTATGCAGAAATTTTGATCCCGAATTCAAATAATAGGCTAATAATCGACTTAAGAATTGGGAAATAGTATCATTGATACGGTATATTTTAGGGCCGTTTACTTTTAGGACTTAAACTTATAATGTTGATTTTACTTCTTCATAAAAAAAAATTAAAAAATGAAAAGTTCTCGCCAATAAATTCTCTTACAGAATTTAAATTCAAAATTAAAATTAAAATCACTGACCTAAATTATTAATACATTAAAAAAATAACTATTATATAAGAATAATCTTGAGGCTTGAACCAGTTTTTGATATTGTCCTTTTTGTCTTATTTTGTTGTGAAAAAAAGCATATATAAGTTCTGTATATTTCACCGATTTGAATTTAAAATTTAAATTTTGTTACAGTAAAAAATTTTTAAAAATAATTACATCTAATTTTTTTATTATAATAAAAAAATTTTATATAAAATTACATCTCAATTTAAATTAAAAATTTAAATCAGTAAACTAAACGATGGTATATTTTTTTCTTCCTCGTGTTGGCCCTAGCCCCTATAGCGTCTAATTTCGTTCAAAAAGTGTTCACTGAAAAGGTTGATGACACCCAAAAAAAAAAAAAAAAAAATTAAAAATTTATAACACATCACATAAAATTATTTTTACTGTAAATTGAAAAATTACCTCATAAGTGAAGCAAAATAACTTGCTCTACCATAAAAATTACCATATTTTACTTTTCTTTTCATTATTTATTTTGTAAATTTTAAAGGCTTGTTTGTTTTATGTGTTTAAATTTATAATTTTAATTTTATTACAGTATTTTTTTTTCATAAAAAATTAAATTTTAAATATTAAAATTAAGAATTACTGTATATGAACGAAACGAGCCTAAGTATTTGAGAAACATTCGTCAAATAAACAAGCATAAGTCATTACAATAAGATTGAATTTAATAAAAATAATTGGTCAGTATTAATTACGATAATTTGAAAATATAATGTTCAATATCTTGGAGGATCCGGCGCTCTGATTCTGTCTGATTCGGACCAACACCCCAAAACCGAATTCTCATTTTGCTCCCTCTTATAAATAACAGATTCTTCTCCCATTGCCATTCTAAGCAAAACACTATTTCCAGTCAAAAACAAAACAAAACAAAACAAAACAAAAAAAAAGTGTTTACAAACGTGGTCATCGGAGATTGGAAATGAGCCGGTGTCTGAGCGTGTGGTCGGTTTTGGTACTGGCGGCTCTAGCAGCGTCGATGGTCGTTCTGCCGTTGATCTTGCCGCCATTGCCTCCTCCACCGTTGTTGTTGCTCTTCTTTCCCGTCGGGATCATGGCCGCCCTGATGATGCTCGCTTTCTCGCCTTCGATCGAGGCAAACGTCGTCGTTTGCTCTGTCTGATGAGGATATACGACAGAAAAAAGGGAAGGATAATATACACAAACTTTTAGTTCTTGCGTTTTGCTTAAACGTGATTTTAGATTAAAGAAGAACGAGATTTGTGTTGTCAAACTCAACTGATTATCATTCTAGAATTGTCGTTTCTTCTTTATCACGATGCTGCCGAGGGTGAACTGTTTGATTAGAACATCCATCCACATTGAAGAGCCATTGGAGTACATCCTCGGCTCCCCGCTTTCATTGTCGTTTTATGTTTTCGTCGTTTGGGCCTTGGGAGTGTATTTACTATGGATTTAGCGTACGGAGATATTTGTCTCATGGAAAAAGTTCTGAGAGTTTTCTATGAGAGTTTTGCCTCAGCCAATACATTGGAGATGATGAAGAAAGGTCATCTGGTAACGAGTGCTGATACGTTACTTGGCTTTGTGGGGTTTGAGTTCCTTTGATGCAATGTACTTCATATGTTATATTATATAGAACTAGAGTTTTAAGCATTTTGGTGCTTTGTTTGGCATGAATAACTCAAATTTTTTGTTTTAGTGTTTCTCTTTTACAAAATTCAAATTCAGCTTCTCTGTGAGTGTTTTTTTATTAAATAAATTCACTTTTTAATTCAAACGAACAAACCGAATAGAATTTGAGTTTGTTTATTGGCTTAAGTTACCGACCTTAAACTTTTCGTCTCCCTTTATGTGCCTACACGAACACACACATTTCTGTGTTTACTACTGTTGTGTGACAACAGGATAGTTAGACGCCACACATTTCTTATATTTGAATAAACATCTTACGCCTAGTTTATTTTACCGATTTGAATTTTGTTACAGTAAAAAGTTCTCAGAAACAGTCGCATTTAACTTTTTTGTTACAATAAAAAATTCTCACATAAAATTATATCTCAACCCGAATTAAAAACTCGAATCAGCCAACTAAACCGTCCTTACATTTCTTTAGATTTTGAGCTAGGAAGTAAGAAGTTGGTTACCTCTCCCCAAGTTGGGGACTGCAACAGCGCGGATTGGCGTTGTCCCCGCCCCATTTTACTATAAGCGGGTTAACTCAGTTGCAGTGTATTAGCGGGAAAATGTGGAAAATGGTATGAAAATTAAAATAGTTCACTATATTCTGATTACAAAGTATATAATTAATTTGTAGGATAGTAGCACTATAGTAGGCTAAACTACGATTGAGAATTTATTTATATCTGAGGAAGAGAAACAACTATTGTACAACTGAAAAATTAAGGAGAATCAATAAGGCCAATTTAAGAAATAAATCAGCATTATCAAAGCTGAATTCTTTTACAAAATTGAATTTGACCTATGATTTCGATTTCCAAGTATTCATATTGGCGCACAAAGTATTTCTTGTATTCAGCGTTACTATGGTAGGCCAATGTTTATTTATTTATTTTTATTTTTTTTATTCAGCAAAAAATAAATAAATGCATAAAGAGTATGCCTAACATCCTTCCTGGGATACCATGGGGTAGGACTGTACAAAAAAACCGTAAAACCGAAACCGACTGCAACCAACTGAAGAACCGACCGCTCAAAAACCGAAACGGCAGTACCACGTGGAACCGAACTACTTTGGTTCGGTTAACCGACCGATCAGCAAGATTCTCGGTTCGGTTTCGGTTTTGTTGTGGACTCTTCGGTTAAAACCGAACCGACCGAGGTTTTTTAAAATGTTTTCATTTTTTTTTAATTTATGTTGTCGTTTTTGAAGAGTGGATGTCGTTTCTGAAGATTGGATGTCGTTGTCACTCTTAGGAATCACAAAACCCTCTTTTCTTTCGTTTCTTCTCTCAATCTCTTACCAATCCGCCTCTCTCTGTCTCTCACTCTCTCTGTTTCTCAATCTCACGATTCTCACCCCAGCCCAGACATACACCCCCCACCGGCCACCCACACGACCGACCACCCACCCTCACGCACGCCTCACCTCTCTCACTCTCACCCACCCTCACGGAAGCCCTAGCCGCCGCCTCTCTCCTCCGTCGTCCTCAATCGCATTTCCGCCGCTGCTCGCACGTCCGCATCTCACGGTGAAAGAAGCCCTAGCCGGCAGCCGCCGCTCGCACGTCCGCTTCCGCCAAGCTCGCACGTCCGCCTCCGCCACCGCTTGCACGTCCGCCTCCGCCAAGCTCGCACGTCCACCTCCGCCAAGCTCCGCCGAGGTTAGGCTTTTGATTCCCCACTTTCTATTTCCATCAATCAAGCTTGGGCAATTGATGATTGGCCGCTGTTTATGTTGATGATTGCCGCTGTTTATGTTGGAATGGCCGCTGTTTATGTTGATGATTGCTTTGATTTTGGACGATTGCTGTTCGCCTGTTCCCCACTTTCTATTGGATTGAAATGTTGGATTGCTGTTGCGTTTATTGTTTATGTTGATGATTGATTCCCCACTTTTTTTTTGTTTCGTGATGTTGATGATTGATGAAGAAACGGCCAAGTTTTGTACGTGTTTAAGTTCATGAGTGCACTGTGCACATATTGTTTATTGCTAATATCTTGGAATTGTGTCCGTCCAAAGCTCTCATATATAATATATATGCTTTAAGGCTTAAAAGGGAAGTTAAGGAGGGTACACAAGCGCGCACACACATTACACATATTACACAGAAGAATTAGATCTTGTGATTGGCAAAAAGTTAGTGTAAGAAGTGGATGTTTACTTTACACACACATATATATATATATATATATATATACAGTCACGTAGATAGATGACATGAATGGAATATATGTCCAAGAATAGTTGGTCCCTTTTCTTGTTGGGAGCAACTTCCACTGACGTTTACCCTTCAATTCAATGCACGTTTGGAGTTTGGACATAATGTTGGTGTGTTTAAGCTTCCCCAAGATGTAAATTTGTTTGCCTTAAACGTATCAAAATTCAAAGCTTTTTGCATTGTTCTTATTGTTCAAGTTGCCTTCTTTGGATTTCATGCTTGTTAGTGAAAGCATTGTGTACAATTTGAAAAATCTCATGTAGTGAAAGCATGTTATTTGGTCAAAAAATGCAACTAAATATGCAGGTAACCGGATAGTTAACTGATAGTCACCACCCAGATTACCAAAACCGAAAACCGACCGAAAACTGAAAATTCGGTTAACCGAACCGATTCGTATTTCTACGGTTCGGTTTCGGTTCTCGGTTTTTAAAAACTGACAAGGTCGGTTCGGCCACCGAACCGACCAAAATTGACGGTTTTTAACCGTCGAACACCCCTACCATGGGGTTATCATGAGCTCGACCTCAATACACTCTACTTGAGTTGATAAAAAAAAAATACCACGGTAAAATATTATTTATGCTATTCGGTACTAAAAATATATCATTGCTATTAATAAATAAAAAAAATAAAAAGTTATAATGACGCCTAATTATTTCAAAATGACAAATAGACAATTTTAAATTTGTGACACATGAAACAGAATAAGACCTTGCTTCTCTCAAAATTGACAAGCTAGACCACTCTTGCTGCTAAACTCAAATATGATCTCGTTATTGATATCGGAATGAGATCTACGGTTTGAATGGCGTGATCTTTATTTGGGTCGGGACTGACAAAGAACAGTGTGGGCAACCGCCGTACCTGATTCATTCCGAGAATGACAATTAACAGACAATCTTCAATTTGTGTCGCATGAAACAGCTTCTGCAAAGGTAAATAGGAACCAACTCCATCAATTTAACAACATATACTTAATTGTGAAATGTATATGTACAATGATTTTGTAGACGTTTGGTTCATGTATTCAGAATCATGATTCAGATTATTTTCGTTTTACGTGTGTTTTTTGTGAGAGAATAATACTATAATTCAGAATTAACGATGAATACATGCTATTTGACAGCAATCTGAAACAAGCTAATAGAGTTGCTGTAAAAAGTCTAAAAACATATTTATTATCTCAGTTTTCCAATTAAGAAAGTAGTTATAATGTTAACGTGTTCTACAAATGGTATAATCCAATACACAATAACCGAATACCTGCAGATTATTATAACTAAACATGGTTTGTCAATATTGCGAAAACAAATACGCAAATGCTAAAGAAAGCGCCGAACCAGACTATATCTTTTTTCATGAAAACTTAAAACCAACAATCTTCTTAGTTGAAAACTTTTGCCTACTGATTTTCTCAAAGTGAAATATGTTAGGAAATTATATTTCCTAATAATAATTATGGACCACATATTTATAATAATTATATTAATACTATTTAATTAATTAAACTAATTAAGTGGTCTAATTTTAGAGAACCCAAATAGTCTCCTAACATGGTATAGACTAAATGGATGAATACTTAATATTGACCCAATTAGGTTTAATGGGAGCCTAATGAGACATTATATAAAAAAACTTAGGTTATGGTCATCAATATGTCAAATCATTTGGCTGTTTTCCTTTTTTCTCATCTAGAGAGAAAACATCCCATTCAAGAATCCGGTGATTTGACTAAGGAAGATAATAACTCGACGTGCTCGTTGTCTTAGAGATTTTTACTGGAGATTACGGCTGCACCAATGGAGACAAATATTTGTTTTAACGTATTTTCTTAGTAATTTGGTGTGATGATTTCTGAAATGTGAAATAAGGACAAAATAAAGTAATAGACCAGAAAACATATACTAGCCCGCATTGAAAAGCACTTGCATGTGAAAATAAGTTACAGAAGGCCATAAACTCAAAGACAGAAGAAGAAAGAATTACTTGAAAAGAAAATGTAACGCATGAAATACAATATCCAAAAGGCAATATTTGGTGCAAAGAATAAAATAAAGGTTCAAAATTACAAAAATGATCCATCTGCCAACCAAAAGAACTTAAATCTTTCATGCATCATCTCAGCCTTTTAGTTTCAACCATGAACATAAATATTTATCTACTAAACTAAACTTTCAAGTTCCTCATTTCGAGCGTCAGATCTTCATCAAACTTAATTTGTTTGTATCGTATACAGAGGTGCCCACATGCATAATATAGAGTATATCATTAACGGAAAAGATTGCATCAAAATTATACATATATCTTAAGTTAATTGCACTGGTGCACCCCAATTTTTCATCATTTGTGAGTTTTGACTCCAAACTATTAATTTTGGCATTTAGGATCTGAAATATAACAATTTTTGACAAATAGTAGTCCAACTGATAATGGACGTCAACTGATAAATAGCAATTAAGGTCCCAAAGGCCAAAATCAAATCGTTCAAAGTTCAACTTGCAAACCAACAAGAAGTTTCGGTTGCAAAAATCGTGGCAAATATCGTCGGGTATTTTGCCTATAAACTGACTTATGTTAGCTATTGAATCACAATTGCAACTAGTTATAAGTTTCAAACATAGGGTCCTATTTGCTAAAATTTAAAGTTTGGTGTCCAAGTTATCAAACACCAACATGTTCATGGTGCCAATGCGAAAAAAAACCTATACATGTTATGTTTTGGGACAATTTATATATCTTGAAACTACTTTGCATTGCAGCAGAGAAAAGATAAATAGATAGTGATACATACCATTTTTCAAGTTCTTGAGCCATTAGAATACAGGGTCCACACCAAGTAGCATAAAATTCAATAATAAGGCCATAAGGTTGACATTTCTTTCTCCCTTAACCAGTTCCTGATCTCTTGAGCAGACAACTTCTGCACTCCCAAAACAACAAAAAAGATACATTAGCTGAAATTCAAGATTCAATAATGATATCAAACGTCACTGAAATTAACAAAAACAAACAAGATTCTAATCCCATTTTAGCTTCTGAACTGAGGAAATATATGCTATGCCAAACCCAGGACACAAAAGAAAATAAAAAGCAACAGTAATCATTTCTAACACAAAACGAAAAGAAAATAAAGCAATTCCAACTATGTAATGGAATGGTATATGCAAAAATGAGCATACCACAAGTTATGGTGATGGGTTTCTAGGGAGGATTGAGGAATGGAAAAGCAAGTCTTGGAAGAACTTAAAGAATGGATAAATGGGCGAGAAGAGTCAGGGTCATTGTTTTGATCAATCAGCAGCCTCCAAAAGAAACACATTCAAACAAATAATACCCTTTATCCTTATAAAAATTATTTTATTTTTCATTTATTTTCTTCACTTTTCAAATCAAAAGATTAAATTACCCTTGATTTGGTATTCAAAAGAAGAAAAAAAAGTAATAGACGCACTGATGCACCCCCTTAATGGACAACAAACAGGTATGCATATTCATGTGTCGAGTAGTCATCAATTGAGGCGACAACATACTCGTAACCTCCTTGTACGTCATCTCAAGTGTGCCAAACACTTACTGTTGTGTTTTCTCACAATATAAGAATCCTAAATTGACCGATTGAGACTAGTTTTGCATTCACACTACTAAAAATTATACATTATAGCATCTGTATTTAACGGCTGTTTTGTTTTTCAAACTAGTTCTTAAATGTACCGCAGAAAGAAATTGTGCCCTAACAAATAGATCTCTTTATGGAAACAACTTAAAGACGGCTTTGTGGTAGACTTTTAACGGCTTGTTTCTTGCAAACTTTCTGTAGCTGCTATTTTTCCATTCTGGGCCAACTATCAGGCTTGATCTTGCAAAAATATAACAACACACAAGCAAAGTACATCCTGCTGTGTACAATACATGCACTACATCGTAGACCTCGTCTTTTTATTTATTACTATAATACTATTTTTAGAGACATGAAACAAAACATGGTTTTAAAGTAATTCATATCAACTTTATTACTATTACATTAATGTAAAATTTAACTTTTGTCTCAAAGTTAGTCTTAATGTAGTAACTCTTTTTTTTTTCTCTGTTTGCAAGTCATGTAGTAACTTTAACATCTTCAATAGTATAATGACCAAAACACTGATTTCCATTATGAAAAAGAGAAATTACAGAATGAGGTAGAGACTGCATGTTATTTCAAGTTCATGCAATATAAACGATATATATATATATATATATATATATATATGATGACATAAATTCTATACACCTTGAAGATCACTAGGTAGTAATTTGATTAATTATTATATATAATTGGTTGTAATGATTAATTTCTTCCGATTCTTAGGGAAGAATCAACAGCTTTACCAACACCAGATGCTGCAAAAAGCCTAGCGATCTCTAGCTGAGTATTTGCAATGATCTCAGTTCTCTTGAGGTCCATCTCCGCTCTTTTAGCCTCCGCTTCAACTCTCATCCTCTCTATCTCTCTCATCCCCTCCATTCTCGCTTGCTCCGACTTCACCACCGCCTCCGCCAGCCACCGGATGCTCTCCGCGATATCTAATTCTAATTCCTTCCTTTTCCTCTTCTTCTTCTCCATTCTCATCATCTTGTTCGTTGTTTTAGATCTCAACCTCATCTTCTCCGCCTTTTTGCTGTAAAGCGCTGGCGTGCTGCTATCCGACGTAGTCTCCATTGAATTGTTCTTGTCGGATGCATGGTCCGATAATATTTTGTTTACTGCTTCATGATCTTCCTGTAGACAACAAGTTAAATAAAAATTACGCCAACATATAATATTAGAAAAATTTATTCTTCGCTAAAATGATTTTAATTAGCTATACACTTTATAACGTTACGTTTAGTGGCACTAAGACTTCTAAAGCAAAAAAAAAAAAGAAAAAAAAAAAGCCCCCAGGCCCTAACACTTTTACCAGGAAAAGAAATTGAAAAGGAACAAAGTGCCATTCAGCTTAATTAGTGCTTAAATAACTTCCTTTTTACTACAATGGGTACTCATGAGTTGAGAATTGTCCCAACAAAATTACGTGTAATAAGAAATGTTAACACCACTCTTTCTGTCATTATTTGTATTTACTGTTTGACACGTTGACTCCACTTACATGATATATTATTATTTAAATAAAAAATAATAGTGGAGTGCACATGTCAAATAGTGAATGCGGACAATACTCACAAAGAGAATGATAGAAAGAGTGATGCTAACATGTTTCGTGTAAATATAGATATTACAAGTCTTAGAATGTTCTAATATCAGCCTAATTGAAATCAATTTTTGAGGTAATAAAAGAGTAATACCGTTAAGTATCTGGCGTGATCAATCGTGCTCCATCTAATTGCCAATATATAAGAGTAAAAAGTAAAAAAAAAAAAAAAAAAAAAAAAAAAAAAAGGGGAAATTTTTATTTTTTAAAACTTTTTTTTTTTTTTTTTTTTAAAAAAAAAGAAACAAATGGGATATTTTTATCTCCAAAATCTCTAGAAGTTTTTTTGACAAATAAATCCATTTTAAGTATTTTTTTTAGTAACTTCTTATTTAAGTACACAAGTTACTGCATTATTTCTGCATAAAAAAGCTACTTCATTAGTTTCATTCATAAATGAAGTAAACTTGTGTACTTATAGTGAAATCCATAAATAAAAAATAAAAATAAAAAGGGAAAGATAGAAAGAAAGAAGAAAAACAAATCAGTGTTAGAAACTGACCTTGGCCAGTCTGTCAACGCCGTTAGATCCATGTGAATTTTGTGCCGTTCCAAGAGGAGGAGGAGGAGGAGGATGAGGGCAAGCAGGAGGAGGCGGCGGCGGCGGCGGCGGCGGTGCCGTAGAGATTGGCTCTAGTAAGACTAAAGCAGAATTATTACTTGGCGGAAGAGAAAGCGGAGTTGGAGGGGCCGGTGACTGCAGAGTTTGTGCAGCTGCCGCCGCCGCCGCAGCCGATGGCCCATTTCCGCCACGTAGCAAAAGATCGAGCCTCGAGTAGAGAGGCCAGGAGGAGGCATCGGCGGTTGACTCCGATCGGTACCGCTTCTTCATGGACTCGATCTTGTTCTTGCACTGCGTTTGTGTTTTTGGTGATTTAGTACAATTTGCCCTCGACGACACATATCTTGCAACGTCTTCCCAGTCATGACCCTTGAGCTTAGCCCTATTCCGGAGAACCCATTTGCCTTCATAAGCTTCCAGAAGGCTAGAAACGGCTCCTTCACTCCACTCATCTCGCTTTAACCTATCACCACCGGTTCCGCCCCCGCCGCCTCCGAAGGGTTTTCTCGGAGACTCTTCCTTGGGGACGATGATCACGGTGGCGGCGGCTCCGACGATGGTGGCGTTGTTGGGGAGGAGAGATGGGTTCTCTTGTTGGTTAGTTTCTTTGTCCATCTCTTCTCCCCATGCTAAAAAAACCAAAAAAAAAAAAAAAAAAATTTTTACCCTTTCTTTAAGCAGCTAACTGCATCCACAAGAGCGAACAGAAAGTGGAGTTAAAGGGCATGAATTGAAAAAAGTGTAAAAGACAGAGAACCACTAGCATGTAGAGAGAAGGAGAACAAAAAAAAAAAAAAAAAGGCTTAGCGTTAGTGGCCAACCAAAGGAAGAAAGAGAATGATAAGTAAAGAGAGAAAGCCACTAGCAGTAGTATCCGAGACATTAATCAAAGAGTACGTGTGTATTCAGTTAAATCTATATTCTGATTTTTTATACCAAAATAATAGTATAAATACATTTTGGCCTCGTTCACTTCGCGAATTCGAGTTTTCAATTTGAGTTGAGATGTGACATTTTCAGAGAGTTTTTTACTGTAACAGAAAAAGTTTGATGTGACATATTCAGAGAGCTTTTTACTGTAAAAATCTAAAACTGAAAACTCAAATTGGTGAAATGAACGATACCTTTGTGTATTCCATTTATGATCACATTATTAGTTTCACTTTTAAATTGAACAACCCAATTATTCTCATATTTCATGAACTTTTTTTTTAGCAAATATTCCACGTACTTGGTAGTATTCAAAAAAAAAAAAAAAAAAAGAAAAGCCAAATCATGCATATCAGTCAATAAAATTGAGGCATTAAGTTACAAATAAATATACTTTGATCCTGTTTATTTTATCATTCATTTAAACACTAATTGATAAAAAGCGTCTGATGTATGATTTGCGCGAGTTAATTATTGACAAGCAACTCACTAATTAATAAATATATATAACCTCACTAATTAATCTATAATCACTTATTATTTTTAGTTATTGACTAGTAACTCACGCTAATTAATACATATAACCTCACTAATTGACTTATTATTTTTTTCTAAATCGCATTGCTTTTTTTTTATTATTGACTAGCAACTCACTAATTAATAAATATATAACCTCACTAATTAATCTATAATCACTTATTATTTTTAGTTATTGACTAGTAACTCACGCTAATTAATACATATAACCTCACTAATTGACTTATTATTTTTTTCTAAATCGCATTGCTTTTTTTTTTTTTTTTTTTTTCAAAATGAGAAGTTACTTTTTAATTTTAAAAGGTCTAAAACATATATTAATGGAGGCCATAAAACGACCATTTCTTACTAAGAAAACGATTGTTTTTGCACAATACGAGTATTTATATATATAGTTTATAGTAGACATGTATATATATATATATATATATATATCGAGTAAAGGGAAGAGTTAGTGGGCAACCCAAAGGAAATTAATGGTCACCTTTTTTTCTGAGTCAAATGAGTAAATGATGTTAACCCTCTAACTTTTTCTTCCTTTTTCTCCTTCATTATTTGGTTTGTAGCTTGTTGGTTTTATTATTATTGTTGAGGTTGGTTTTTTATTTTGGCTGTTAGCGTTGATACAAAGCCAACCAAAACATCCACTGCTAGAGAGATGGTGGAGGTGGTGGTGGTGCTGGTGGTGCTGGTGGTGGGTCAGTCACGTGGGTCTGTCACCCACTCCACATCCCTATCACCACCACTAACCCCAATTGTGCTACCGTCACTCACTCAAAACGCAAAACCTCTTACATTAGCCCTTTTATCTTTCCTGCTTTCCTTTTTAGCTTTGCCTTTATTTATGCCCTTTTGAATACTTTTTGGTGGGATTCATCGCCACTTGATGAGTAATGTTAATGTCACGGAATTTTTTCAATAAGATCAGAAAAAACTGATAATCCACTGCTTTTTAACAGTCATATCTGTATTAATAAGAACCGTTTATTTTATATATTTTTTGACGTGATTTTGATTAGATCTAATGACCTGAAACCGACTGTAAGAAAATTTTATGGGGAACTTTCTCTTGACCTCTTGGATTGGCATATACCTATTCTGTTTGGCCAACTAAATGCCATTCCAAGTCATTGAAGGTTTGCTGAGTCATTTTGATGGGAAAGTTTGCACCTTTTTTTATGTCCTTAAACCCACATAATTCAGCATTTCATCAATGAACTTGTTTAGAGGAGAAAATAAGGACTTAAAAGGACAGAACTTTTTCACTTTTTTTTTTTTTTTTGGCCGGTTGGTAAAAGGCTCTTTTTCATTAGCTTAATTAAATAAACCTGTCTATTGAACTTTTTACAATTGGCTGATTACTATTGATTTGGAGTTTTGGTAAATTAATTTAATAATGTATTATAGAGTTTATTCTAATAGAGAAAGACTCTTAAAATTTAAGAGGATTTTGTTTTGTTTTTTTTTTTTTTTTTTTTTTTTCCCCTTATATGAGCTCATTTAAAAAAAGAGTTCAATTTTAGATGATGATTGGAGCATGACTCGTCATCGTCATGTGTATGACATTATCTATTTTTAAATGTTAAATACCATTAGTATTTTAATAATTTTAAAAAAATTGCTATAATTAATATCTAAAAATAACTTATCAATTCAATCTAAGGCACCAATTTAATAAAATGTTAGAGCGTAAAAAAAATCCTACGCATCAGTCCATTTTATTTTTTACTCGTGTATACTAATGAAATCCGTTACTTTTGCTTTTTATTGGAGAATATAAATATTCTACTTTACAAGATGCCTTAATTCTATTTGAATAGAAGATAATTCATGATATACATATTTAACTCGATTAAAGTAGTAATAAATGTTGAAGAGCGATTTCACGAATCACGGGTAACAGCCATTCCTTTCCATTACAAGATGGGCAATGCTAAAGCAAAAAGGTATAAACACAAACCACCAAAAAAAATAAATAAATAAATTATGTTGGCATGTTATTAACAGGTGGGGTCCAGGATTCTATCAGTAGAGGTGAATAAAGATTTACGTCCTCTTAAAGGTCATAACTACATGCCTCTTTATTATTACTTTTAAAGAGATGAAATTCCCCAAAAAAAAAAAAAGAAAAGGAGATAAATTAAGGAAATACATCCCCTAATTTTTAGGTTTGGAGTAAGAATTCATGTCATGACTCAGATCATGATTTGTAACTCGTTATAGTATTTTCTCTCACAAAAAACATACGTAAATTGAGAATAATTCTGAATTATAATTTTAAACTTATGAACCAAACGTCCACTTAGAGTTTCAGAGTTTTTAATTAGTATTTTTCTTATAGGAATTGCCTCAATATCCATAGAAATACTATTACAAGGGACTAATGTCTTTTAGACTTCTTTGATTAGTATTTTTCTTATAGGAAATGTCTCAATGGGCAATAAAAACACTTTTAGAAGGGACTAATAGGACTTATTTATTTGCACCCAAACTCAAAAAAAGTTTAAATTTAAGTTATAACTTTATTCAAGTGCATATTCTTTTATAAAATTTGAGTTTAAACTTGAATTTGAGACAAAAATCTGACTTCAAATTTCTCATTCAATTCAAGTTCCTAAACTCAAACTCAAATTAATGAACAATATTTTTTCTATTCTTAAAAACACCATAACTTTTTCGTTTTAATTTCAATTGATATGATTTTTTTTTCTATGCTTTCACAACGAAAAGACGAATAAAACCTCACCCATATACCCTATTAAAATTTTTTATCACTATTGAGTTTTTATTAAAATACTATCTAAATATAAATTCAAGTAGATTCTCAATTCAAATCATAACTCAAAATGTGCACATCCAAATACAAACTCAAATTAGAGTTTCAACTCAAATCGTACTCATATTACAGATTTGTAGTTAGTGCATATGCCCCCGTGAGTAACGGTGACTATCGGTCGAATGCATATGCTTTTACTCCGTTCCGTCACCGAATTGACCTCATCCCTTTTTGAAAATATGAAACCGAAGCCGAGTCCACTTTGTGCATCTTTGATCGATTTCGATTAATGTTTTAATAGGTTTTCGGTTTTTGGTGGTCTTCGGTTTTTGTAAGAACAACCGTATTAAAAAGTCAAGAGGAGAGCTTACCTTGACTAGCAACCGAAACGACTACGGCCATGGGGACTCGACAGCGTGACTGGTGGCATGACTTTCTTCTCGTTTCAAATGTAGCATACTTCCAGGTTTCTAAACTATAGGCTATTCAGCTTATGAGTTATATGCTATTGGGCTTATGAGTTAATAGGTTACTTATGGGCTATTAGGATTTTTTTTTTTTTTTCTAGGGGAGAATGTAAAGTAAGAGAAAATTGTAGAATCTATCTAGATTTTCATTCTTTATTTTTGATAAATATCATTTTTTAAGTGTAATTATTTAACTAAAAAAGTTATGAATTAAGAGTAAAAGACAAAAATCTTGACCCATACACTTTCAACGAGTATTTATCATGATTACCCACGTAGTAAATAACAGATTTACAAAACTAAATGAAATAAATAACATATTTTAAAATTATTTAAAATAAATAGTAGTTTACGTGGTAATTACGTAAATAATTTATTTATGACTAGTAATAACATTTTTTTTCTTAGTAAATTTTCTTTTTACAACTCGTAAAAAGACTTTTTTCTGCGTAAATAAATTTTATTTTTAAATTTTTACCACATAAGTTATTTTCTACCCGTCACATAAATTGAATAATAGTTTATATGGTAAATGCGTAAATAATTCATTTACAACTAATAACAACATTTTTTTCTTAGTAAATTTTCTTTTTATAACTGATAAAAAGATTTTTTTTTTAAAAATTTTATCACATAAGTTATTTTCTACCCGTCACATAAATTACTATTTACTTCAAATAATTTTAAAATCTGTTATTCACTTAATTTAGTTTCAAAAATATACTATTTATTATAATTTTTCTTTCGAAGACATATGTATGATATGGGTTCATGCTTTATGCCCTTAGGCTTAATCAGCAATTTCAAATTCATGCATGTAAAGAAGAGACGTCAGACCATTGACAGTGGCCGTGATTGTTTAGAGACTCCAGACCTGCAAAATGCAAATCAATGAAGAAGAGCACTATCATCGATCAGTTTCTTTACTTCCAAAACTGAGTGCAAGACCCCAATCGAGCATGAAGTCGCTCAATGTTCCAGCGATTTCGTTCACTGACCGATGGACGTCGGCTCCATATGGTGCCAAAAGAGTCAGATCTCGTTCACTTCACCGATTTGAGTTAGAATTCGAGTTTTGTTACAGTAAATTTTTTTTATAAATAGTCACATTTAACTTTTTTACTACAGTAAAAAGTTTTCACATAAAATCACATCTAAACTCAAATCAACAAACTAAATGAACCCTCAATTTACGACAAGCTTTATCGGTTTACAGCAGACAATTCCGATTTGCCGGTTATCTTGTTTAGCCCTACGTGACAATTTTCCCTCTTTTGTTGCCCAATTAAAGGCCAAATTCCTCTGTTTTTTTGATATCTCTCACTTTCAAATCACTTTATTTTTACACACACTCTTTTTATAAATATACCAAAGATATATATATATATATATATATCTCACTCTCTATATATATACACACCAATTTTATTTTCTTATGTACCTTCAAAAAAGACGAGAATATAATGGATTTAGATGAGGGTGATAAGTAAGGGTAGCAAGTAGCAACATTTGATAAGGCCTTCAACTTTTGTTGTTGATTGTTATGTCAATTTGGATTTTTTGAGATATTGTGTTTTGGACTTTCGACATCGGTGGTATGTATGTGTTTTGGACTTTGAAATGTTGGATTTTCGATTGTCTATAGTCTTTTCATACAGTCTGACAAATGTAAAATTTTCATGTTCCCGTGTAACATTATTTGTGTGTGCGTAATAACCAATTTACTTAGGTGTAACACTAATGTTACATGTGTTTAATTACATTTTTAAAATGTCACTTAAATAAACTGAGTGTGATGCACATAAATAAAATACACAAAGAAATTACATTTACCAGACTAATCCGGGTGCCAGACTTAAGGCAATTATTATATTCTTCCAACCTAAAAAAATCAGGTTTGAAGTTCAACCATAAAAAATAATGAATAAATAAAACGGTTTCAAGTTAGTCAACTATGGATCCCCCGACAAGCGACAACCGTAAGAGGTAACAAAGGAATAAAATAAAGTCCCGAAATAGGAGCAATGAAGCAAAGTGGATTAAACTTATTATGCACATCTAACGAATACTTTTTTATCGAAACTTGATTCTGGCTTACAAGAAAAATATTTGACTAACTTTATTTGCTATTTGTAATGAATTAATAACCATGGTAACACCTTTTGAGGAAAAAAAAAAAAAAAACCATCACAACATGCTGTCATCTTAGAAATACGATGTCTGTTTAATCATTGTATAGTTGATATTAAAATCTCAGATTAGTTGAAGATATTGACACGATCTATTTAATAAGGTGAGAACAATCATCCTTTAACAAACCAGTTTTGTTAGATTAAGTTAGGCCCAATATCATTTTATTTTTGTAAAATGATATCAAAGCCGATAGTTCGTATAGGCTAAACGATCACACTTGGTCGTAATTCCCACGTTGCTTTCCGTGGAGAGTTGGTGTTCCCGCAGTTGGTGCTGTAGTAGGTGCGGATGGTGAAGCATTTGGTGGACTCACATGGATTTGCCCCATTTCTCATGCTCGAGTTGGCTCTCATTTGGAGTGCGATGTTTGGATGTACCGACTACTAGAAACTTTAGTTTGGGAGGGAGCTCAGTGAATACACATATGAGGGGGACATTGTTGAGAAAAATGCACGTGTATGTTATCCCACATAGAAAGTGAATAAAGATATGAAATTGTTTATATACATGGAAGGAGCCAAGACTTACTAGGTTAACTTTTTGGGTCAAGTGGGCTCCTGAAATGTGTTGGGTCAGTTTTACATGCGTAGTCTCCCTAATAAGTGGTATCATAACAACCCCAGTTTTGCAACGTTGGGTCCCCCAATATCGACTTATTCGCAATGGTTTGGTATGGTCCACGTTGTGCATGAGGGAGTGTATTAGAATCACACATTGGCTGGAGATATTGTCATGATTCACTTAATAAGGTGAGGGCAATCACCCCCTAGCAAGCCGGTTTTGTTAGGTTGAGTTAGACCCAATATCCTTTGATTTCTGTAACATAATATAAGAGTGAGAGGTCCTGAATTCAAACCCCCATAATTGCACTTTTATCCACATTTAAATTGTTATCACATGTTGGGTCTTTAATATATCTCGGGCTTAAATATTCACGTATTTGGCTTTTAAATTAATTTACCAACACGATTGTTTATTGTCTAGCCCACACGTGAGGAGTGTTAAATTATAAAACTATTGTTGACTAATTTCTTAACAGCTTAAACTTTTAAGATGGGTGTCCAAAACGTGTTCTCTAGTCATTCGCCGTGATAAACTTGAAATTCAAACCCCCTCAATCCAACAATTTTACAATGTTTGATTCATGCTTCAGAAATCTCAAAGGATTAGCAGAAATTAAAAGGCTGGCCATATAATAAAAGTGAAGATAGCAACTTCTCAATCAACAAAATGATCAATACAAGCACCAAAATGTCAATCTCTTGACTGTGCTAGTAGTACTATCACAATAAATTTACAAAATTCTTCCAATGCTTCTCTTTCAGATGAGAGGTCCACCTATCTATCTCTCTAATCTCTAGCAAGAGCTCTACCACAAATAGCAGCTATATGCCATTAGTACATGGACCCGAAACCGCAAAAAGAAAAAAAAAATATATATTACGGACACCAACTTCTTAACTTTTGTGTACCAATAATGAGTTATCATTTTTATATTGATATTATTTAAAATATTAAGACATCAATTAATGATAAGATATTACAGTCCGTTCATTTCGCTGATTTAAATTTAGAATTTGAGTTTTATTACAGTAAAAAGCTTTCATAAACAATTACATCTAACTTTTTTACTACAGTACCCGTTCATTTCGCTGATATAAATTTAGAATTTGAGTTTTACTACAGTAAAAAGCTTTCATAAACAATTACATCTAACTTTTTTACTACAGTAAAAAGCTCTCATATAAAGTTATATCTCAACTCGAATTAAAAACTCGAATCAGCGAACTAAACAGACCCTATGTTAATAAAAAATGACAATTTACAAACGTCAATTTGTACATAAGAGTTGAATCTTTTAAGGTAGCTGCTTTGTGAGGAATAAAATAAGCAAAGATCTGTCGTCTCCTTTTCGCGTATCATTAAAACCTTACTAGGAAACCTCATAGGTCATATGAAGATAGTAAAGGCATAGAAGCAAAACATATTTCTCGATATATATCAATCACTTTGCTCCAGCAAATGTTTTCCTCTTCAGGTTTAAAAAACTGCAACTTGTTTTTGTTTCGTTTGTTAGTTCATCTCCCAAAACGTGTAAATACAAAATTTCACGAAATCTCACCAACCATGGAGACCAAAACTACTGAACAATCTTCAAGCAATGTAATTATATGTCAGTTCTGAAATCGTAAATAAATAAAACAACTCTTAATTTTATTGAAATCAAAGACTACAATCGTCATCTGTAGAACAAATATACCTCTATTCTTATGAAGCTCAAATATTTTCCTATCTACACGAGCTGAGTATATGAAGCTAAAACAAGTAAAGAAAAAAAAAATGCACATTCAAACTCACACTGTCAACAATATAATCATCATATCATGTATTTGTACAAAATTAGTTTTGAAGATCAGAAGTGTAATGAATTAAAACTAACTTCAAATAAAAAAAAAAAAATCAAATCCCTATTGCATCTCATGAAGATTGGTTTAGCAAATCAGAATCAAACCGAGAAAGAAGCAAGCCAGTGCCATTGTCGATCATCTTCAGGAGAGCCACTGCCTTGCCACTACCTTTGGCGGAGCCGGTCTCGGCGACCTCGGCGATCCCCGCGGCGGCGCGTCCCATCCCCAATTCCCTCAACTCCCTCACCGCCCTCTCTCCGCCGCACCTTCCCAAATTCAGCAGTGCCGCCACCGCGTTCTCCTTCGTCCTCAAACTGGAACCGGTGGCTGGGTCGAGCAAATCCGTCAGCACGCCGCTCCCGGACACCTTCCGAAACGCCTCCTCGCTCTCCTCGCAGCCCGCGAGCTGCGCGACGACCGCGGTGGCGTCCTCGACGACGCCGACGCGGCCGTCCTTCACGACGAGGGAGAAGAGGACGGGGACGGCGCCGAGGTCGATGACGGAAAAGGTTGAGTGGGTAGAGGGAGACGCCGAAGAGGGCTTTGAGGGAGTCCTTAACGGAGCGAGGAGGGGAATTGGGGGTTTTAAGGATGTCGACGAGAGAGTAGATGATGTCCCGCTTGGACCCCACAATTGGGCGGTAGTCGTCGACGACGAGGAGGCTGTGGAGGGCGGCGGCGGAGGACTGGACGGCGGAGGGGGAGGAGGTGCTGCGGTGGTGGTGGAGCGCGTGGGAGAGAGCGTCGAGGAGGCCCCGCGTGGAGATGAGGGAGTGGCGGCAGGAGATGGAGAGGTTGAGGATTGTGGCGGCGGCGTCGTCTTGGGCGGCGTGGGAAGGAGATAAGAGAGTCTCGGCAAGGAAAGTGACAGCGCCGGCGTCGGCGATAAGAGAGCGGCTCTCGGCGTCGTGCTTGCTGATCAAACGCAGCTCGCTCAGGGCTTCCGATCGCGTCTGCTCCGACACCGAGCTGAGCTTTGATACTAGAGACCGGATCGTTCGCCGCTTCACATCCATTTTTTTTTTTTTTTTTTGCTTCGGATCTATTTGGGTTCCGTTTGAAGGAGTAAAATAAACGGAAAGTAAAAGGTTTTAGTTTGAAAAGGAACAAGAAATTAAGGATTTGAAAAGGAACAGGAAATCAAGGATTTGAAAAGGAACAAGAAATTAAGGAACTTTTGACATAGCCAAAAGGTGATCGTAGGATTATTAACGCAAAGAGAGGGAGAAATTTTGGCATTTTGGAAGATATAATATTGTTGTATTTGTTGGAAAAAGAGGATGATGAGGACCAAAAGTGAGAAGAGACGAAGATGACACTTGGATGGGGAGGTGGAAGCTCGAGAAGAAAGAGGGGAATGGTTGGTAGCGTCGGCGGTAAGCGTTTGACGCAAACCGCCGGAAAAGTGGGGAAATGGCGGATAAGGCTTTGCGACTTGTCCTCTCACAATCATCAAGTGCTAATAATCACATTATTATTTCTCAAATTATGATACCTTTTTAATGTCTCGTTGTGAAACCAATTGCCCATTGGGTATTGTCATTTGACCATAAATTATTTTAGTTAATTTGTGCAAACACTTTTCCCACTGCGTTTAGGACTAGTTTCATAAATATTCCTTTCCCATTGGGTATTGCCATGAGACCGTGTTTTAATAATCAACTATGAATAAATATATCAACTAACTAATAGTAATAAAATATCAATTTAGCATAAAATATAGTATATGGTAAATTTAATACAACATATAGTATTGCATTAAAGAATTTTTTTTACAATAAAATATTATATTTATAATTAGCATATTAATTACAACTATTAAAACCCCACTCAAATATATTTATATATATGTCCATAACTATATAATATATATATATATATATGAGTGTGGCTTTTATGTATCTAACTTATATACATACACTGATACACACACTCAATATATATATATATATATATATATAAGAAGAATATATGTTAATAGTAGTTTTAGTCAAAAGGTTACATCTAATCATAGAAATACATGAAACATTCTAAATTTTAAGGTAACAAATTAAATAAAAAAATAAAGGACTTGAAACCTAAAAAGGAAAAGGGAAAGAAAAAGCAAAGCACTTAAAACTCCGCGTTTTTTACTATCATAGAATGGACATAAATTATGAAATGACAAAAAATAATAATAATAATAATAAGAAAAAAATAATAGAGTTGAAACCTTAAAATGAAGAAATCAAGCAACTTCTTAGAGGTTCTAGATTGAAGTCAGTTTCCACTCTCGTTTAACAATAGGTCTGGAAGTCCTGTTTGAGCACATGAAAAACTTAAAATCTTAGTATCTTACATGTAGTAAACTGTAAGTTACTCGGGAAAAAAAGTAATCTGTATTTTAATTCTGTTACAAACAATATGGTCACTTGGTGATTTTTTTTTTTTTTTTTTTTTTCCGCACTGGTTGGCTTTGTTTTGTTGGTTGTTTGGGCAATGAGGTTAGAATAGGTCCCTTGATTAATGAATTGAGTGGAATTAACTAGCAATGGTTTGATAGGATGAACATAGAAATGATAAGGTGAAGTCAAGTCTCTAGTACATTTGTGCATAGAAGTTTCCATATTTTATTTTATTTTTGTATTTATATTTGTTCTAGTTCTATTTTTATTTTATTGAGTTCGGTTGCCTAGATAAAGTAGAGTTACGATAATCGTGGTACTTAGCGGTAATTTAATACCCAATTCATGTGTAGACGACACTCACTCACACTTTACTATCAAAACTTGACATCATACGCTTGCGGCAAACAATGCTTTAAAAACAACAATAAAGATCCTATGGAAGTGACAAACACTAATTATGGAGAAGAAGAAAATTGTGAATATAAAAAAGTGTGTGCTTAAAGGAGAAGATTACAGTAATTTCTTGACCAAGTTTGGGGCTTTAATGGCAGGGGTCCCTCCCTTTTCCATGCATTCACGAACTTTTTCACCCATGCACTTCCCAAAAATTTTAGTATAATTCTCGTTTATTTCACCGATTCAAGTTTAGAATTCGCGTTTTGCTATAATAAAAAGTACTCAGAAACAATTACATCTAACTTTTTTACTACAGTAAAAAGCTTTTTCATAAAGTTATATCTAAACTCAAATTAAAAATTCAAATCAACGAAATAAACGGGCCGTCAAGTAACTTTTCCTCACAAGCTTCTCTAGCCCACTTTTTTGCACTGAATCTTTCAAAATCTTTGATCAATTGACAAGGGAACATCATCTTTGGAGCCTGGAATGAGAGACGAAGGAAAGTATGGGGAATTGACGCATGCAATGGTGAGGTAAACTACACTAATTCTTTGTCCAAAGTTACCCTTCTCTTTTTGCCTATTTGACGAAGTCCAATCTACATTCCAATTTATATACCAATCCATCAATCTTGCATGTGGAATAAAATTAGGGATAAGGAGACAAATAAAAGTTCATGTCAAAAACAAAAGAAACTAATGTGAACTTTAGATATATCTATATCTATAAAAGGTTATATGATAACAAAAAGTGGGGAAATGGTTGGCTGAAGGGTTTAGGATTTGCCCTTTCATTATCATCAAGTGCTAATCAGCGTTATTCGTCAAATGGTTTTTTAATGTTTTGTCTTGAAATGTGATGTGCTCATTGGGAATCTACAAGATATGCTAGTGTTATAAAACAAAATAAATATAGAGCAAAACAAAAGATCAAAAAGTGCAAAATATATGGTTACATATATAGCTTAGCGGTAATTCTAGATTTTATTCTCCCATAAAATAAAGAGATTGAATTCTATCACTCTAAATAATAATAAAAAAACTACAAAACAAAAATAAAAAAGAAACGCAAGATAGATATATATAAAAAAAAAAAACACTCATGTTACTAATTGTTGTGTGGAAAAATGTAACGGACGCGTGGATAAAGTATACCGCGACACGTGGCCTTGGCTAATCCCCACCAAGCAAGGAACCCTCGACGCTTACAAACTCCTCCTATTCCGCTGCGAAGGCCCAAGGACGAAGTCCAAGTTAAGGCGACGATCCTTTATGGCGTCGACTGATTGTACCGTCGACACTAAGCGATGAAGATCTCTCGACCGCAAAAAGGGCCACCGAAGAAGGCGGTTGGGCTAAGCAGTGTTGACGACGAGGGGAACGTCCTTTAGAGGACATAACGAGTTACGTGCAGAAGTGGAGAAGGTCTGCAGGCATTAATTGTAAGCTGTCACAGGGGACAGAAAAGTATTAAGGAGAAGCACAGAGCCGTAATAGAAGACTAATTGGCTGAGTGAACAGTGCTGATTAGTGGGCTACGTCTGGGCCTACCAAAGGAGAGCACTTGAGTGCTTCTACCTATGAAGGAAACCCCCTAAGCGAAGGAAGCCGAATATAAAAGGAGGAAGACCCCCGTAAGGAAGGGGTTCGAGAGAATAACGAGGAAAGAACAAATTTAGTAAGAATTACGATTGTAAGTTGTGATCTTCCAACAAAGAAATACAAAATTACAGTGGATGTAACTCTCATTTTATAGAGTGGACCACTATAAAAACTCCTTGTGTCATTTGTCTGTGTATGATTTAGTTTACTTACAAATACACACACGGTCGGTAATCCGTAGAGAAACCAAGAGGTAATCCGGTCGGTTTTTTGTTGGCGAAATTTGACCGTCAACACTAATCATAAGAGTACAATGCACATTTACAGCTTCTAAATCGTAGCCATATCTATGGTTGTTTGAATAATTATTAATATGATATGAACTAATTGAGTCAATGTATATCATTATTCATGTTCAAGACAAATAATTATTATAGTCGATTATCTAAACTTATCACATAACACTTTGGTTAATATCTATATCACTGCTCTTCTGGAGCTCATTCTGTGATTAAAAATATGAAATATAATATGTTGGCTATATTTGATGCGTATAACTTTTTTTTTCTTTGTTTTTTTTTGTTTTTTTTTTGTGTGCGCGCTTGAGCTCGTATGCGTGTGTTTCTTTACCCATATTTATTTTCCAACTATCATATAATCATGATAAAATAATCATTGCATAGAATGACCTGCTTCATTGTATGGTGCGAAATACACTCGTATAGAGTCAGGATTTTGCAAAATTGACGGACGTTTGTTGCTCGTTCTACAATCCCAACCTCCGCTTGACCCAACAAATATAATGTGATCATGGGGAATGAAGCTCCATCGATCGAGGATGTGCATTGTTGTGTGGAAAAATACGGGTGACATATGGAACAATGACAACGTGATACGTGACCATATTTTCCCTCAAAAGGTGACAACCCTCGACGCTTGAAGCTCGCTTCCCCTCTACACTGCAAATAAAGGCCTAACTTAGGGCGTCGACCAGTCGTACCGTCAAACTTATGGCAACAATTCCTCTGGAAAGGGTCGACTGCCAAGAAGGACATGAGGTCTACGCAGCACAGACGACGAGAAGAATACTCTTCAGAAAGGAGCTTGACATTATAAGTTGCGTCTAGGGATGAGAGACGTCTACAGTACGGGCATTAATTACAATCTCCTAAACCGCCCTACAGTGGGCAGTGAAGGATTACAGGAATCAACAGAGCCGTAATAGAAGACCAATTGGCTGAGTGAACAGTCCAAAAGGTGATTAGTGGGCTACGGTCTGGGCCTAAAAAGGTAGACCACTCGAGTACTTCTACATACGAAGGAAAACCACCCATGAAGGAAGCTTGAGTTATAAAAGGGGCAAAGCCCCATACACGAAGGGGATGGACTTCTCGAGTATTGAATCAAAAAGAGAACATACATGCATGTAAATTGTAAAAGTCTAAAGAGAAATACAATACACAAGTGGATGTAGCTCTTCATTAACAGAGTGAACCACTATAAATTTCGTGTGTCCTCTCATTCAAGCGTTACACTCATGCTTCCAAAAATACAACAAACACTTCACAACCTGATTTTAAATATACAGTTAATTTTCAGCCGGTAACCCAACGGGATACCATTGGGTAACCTGGTGTATTTCTGTTGACGAAATTCAGCCGTCAACAATAAGCTTCACAAATAGCTACACAAAAGTATGGCTGTTTATGGGTTTGGTTAATGCGGAAAAAGGCTTTTTTCCCCGCCTTAAAGAGTGCAGGTTGTACATATTTAGCCCCAATAATATTAAAAAAATTTCACAACCCAATGATGTTTGAGTTAAGTTGGGTGGTCGGTTTCAACATTCAAAAAATCAAAAACTCAAAGTTCAATCCAATATTCAAACTTCATCATCAAATAGAAATAATAACTCCAACATTCAAACAGATAGAAATTTAAAATTCAATCCAACATCAAACATGAAGTAAAGTAGTCCATCCAACATCAAACATAAAACAAACATAAATTAGTCTACACTCATAAATTAGTCTAAACATAAAGCAAGCATCTAGGCTTAATTCAAGCATGAATAAATTATAGAGTATAAATGAGTTGTCTGTCTAGGATTAGATATTAGAATAGGCAAGTTAGAGCGCGAGTTGGATTAGAATGTGCGGGCCATTATAGGCCCAACCCACACCTCTCCCTAAAAATTAATGTTAAAAATTGTATTTTTCGGGTTCAATTGGGGTAGGGTGGGTGACCTGCAGGTTTTGCGGGTTTATGAACAGCCATGCACAAAAGTAATGTCAAATTTTGTTATAAATTAATAATAAATAAGACGTATGAATAGTGAAGTGTAGAGACAATGCTATTATCTCATGTAGACGATAATACAAAACACACTAATTAATTTCTTCAAAGTTTCTACGCAGTACAGACGACGAGAGGAATACTCTTTAGAAAGGAGCTTGACATTACAAGTTGCGTCTAGGGATGAGAGACGTCTACAGTACGGGCATTAATTACAATCTCCTAAACCGCCCTACAGTGGGCAGTGAAGGATTACAGGAATCCACAGAGCCGTAATAGAAGACCAATTGGCTGAGTGAACAGTCCAAAAGGTGATTAGTGGGCTACGGTCTGGGCCTAAAAAGGTAGACCACTCGAGTACTTCTACATACGAAGGAAAACCACCCATGAAGGAAGCTTGAGTTATAAAAGGGGCAAAGCCCCATACACGAAGGGGATGGACTTCTCGAGTATTGAATCAAAAAGAGAACATACATGCATGTAAATTGTAAAAGTCTAAAGAGAAATACAATACACAAGTGGATGTAGCTCTTCATTAACAGAGTGAACCACTATAAATTTCGTGTGTCCTCTCATTCAAGCGTTACACTCATGCTTCCAAAAATACAACAAACACTTCACAGCTCGATTTTAAATATACAGTTAATTTCCAGCCGGTAACCAAACGGGATACCAGTGGGTAACCCGGCGTATTTCTGTTGACAAAATTTAGCCATCAACACGCATACTCCAACAAATTTCCACAAATAGCTACACAAAAGTATGGCTGTTTATGGGTTTGGTTAATGCGGAAAAAGGCTTTTTTTCCCGCCTTAAAGAGTGCAGGTTGTACATATTTAGCCCCAATAATATTAAAAAAATTTCACAACCCAATGATGTTTGAGTTGAGTTGGGTGGTCGGTTTCAACATTCAAAAAATCAAAAACTCAAAGTTCAATCCAACATTCAAACTTCATCATCAAATAGAAATAATAACTCCAACATTCAAACAGATAGAAATTTAAAATTCAATCCAACATCAAACATGAAGTAAAGTAGTCCATCCAACATCAAACATAAAACAAACATAAATTAGTCTACACTCATAAATTAGTCTAAACATAAAGCAAGCATCTAGGCTTAATTCAAGCATGAATAAATTATAGAGTATAAATGAGTTGTCTGTCTAGGATTAGATATTAGAATAGGCAAGTTAGAGCGCGAGTTGGATTAGAATGTGCGGGCCATTATAGACCCAACCCACACCCCTCCCTAAAAATTAATGCTAAAAATTGTATTTTTCGGGTTCGATTGGGGTAGGGTGGGTGACCTGCAGGTTTTGCGGGTTTATGAACAGCCATGCACAAAAGTAATGTCAAATTTTGTTATAAATTAATAATAAATAAGACGTATGAATAGTGAAGTGTAGAGACAATGCTATTATCTCATGTAGACGATAATACAAGACACACTAATCAATTTCTTCAAAGTTGGCGAACTAATGACTGCCATCACTAGTATGGTGAATTGGCATATCATTGCCAGTCATGTCCAATAAGGATCCGCGTTAACTCTGAATCAGACGAATCAGAGGTGTAAACAAGCAATGAATATGGTGGACCTAAATTCCACTTAAGGACAAAAACAAGTAGAATTTGTCACGGTAATGGTTAGACCAGAGCCCATCATGACACTTATCGAGTATTTCGCTACATGTATCAAGTTTTTGTTTACTTGACTCTTGTCTATTAGAGGCATTTGGGTTTAGGGATGGCTGTTGATCAACCAATGACCTAAGTCAAACAACAAATCCTCCATCTGCATCGTCCACAATTGCGCCCTCATTTGTTGGGAAATGTAGCAACACATTACTTACATAAACAGTAGTGATTGCCTTGCGCACATTTTCTTTCCCCAATGGCATCCCGTGAAGAACATCCGTTGGACGACTATGTTAGGAAGACACCACATGTGAAACTGGCTTAACACACTTTAAAAGTCTACCTTGACCCAAAATGTTAACCTATTAGGTCTTAGGTCGTTCTATGTATATAAACCACTTCACATTCTCATTCACTTTTTACGTGGGATAACACACACATGTATTTTTCTCAACAGACTATCCATCCACTCTTTGTCTATTGCAACAAGGAATAATCCTCCATTTGGAGGATAATGGACTTAGAAGACAGCAACTAACACCGTCACCGACTCACCGAGATTTGATGAGGGCAGCTCGTGATCATGCTTTGCTGGTGTTGGCATGGGATGAATTGTACAACTTGTCTTCACTCTAGGGCGTTGTTCCAAAAAAACTCTTAATAGACGTTTGACTGCTTTCCGAAATGGTAGTATGTCGAGTGCTTAACAAGTTAGGTTAGGAATGACTTGTTTGCTTGCCCTTTGATCCAATGATGCACTTGTATTTAAAAAAAAAATGTTGTATATATATATATATATAATACTTCTGTTTAGGAAAATTATTGGGCGTGCTTGGAATTGATTCCGTTTTTGTTTTTAACATTTTTCGAGAAAAAAAAATGAAAACATTTCTAAAACGGCGTTTGGCACAATAAAGATAAAAAACGGAAATGAAAACGATTTTTTAGTTTAATGTGAAATGAGAGAGAAATGAAAAATGACTTTTAGTTATTTTTCATTTTTTATTTTCGTTTTCTCCTCTTTCGAGCGCAGAGAGAGAAAGAGGGACATTAATGAGTTTTTTTACACTGAAAATAATCTCTTGATAAAACTATTAAACGCATTTTTAAAAATAATTTCTGTCTGAGATTGAAAATATTTTCATTTTCATTTTCATACAAAAAAATAAAATTATTTTAAAATGAGTTCTAAACGCACTAATTATTTTATTGTAAGTTGTAACAGAAATGCTTTGGCAATAACATTATGAAAGCCGATTGTAAATAGCTCGCGACTTGGTACGATCTATCCAAGTAATCGTCTGCTAAAACAACAAAGAAAGATACATATGCATATACCAAGATAGAACACAAGTCCCAACACAAAAGCTACAATCTTCCTTTTTAGCATCTTCTAAGATTAAGAGTTAACTACAAACACCAACAGCAAATCTTAAGAAACCCATAAAACCAACACGAAAAGCCACTAGAAAATAAACCAGTTGGACCAATGGCCTAAGCCAAACCCAAAACAAATTAATTAATAAATTCACGAGCAGGTCTCACGGGCCACGCCAAGCCTAGAGTTGGGGAGGTCGAAAAGCACCCGGTGGTTTTGTTGCTGCATGTTGGCGATCACATTCAACACCGAGTTCACGTTTTCTGGCGCCGCCGCCATGGCCAAGCACGTGAGGCTGCCGGCCGAGCTGTGGATGAGGAAGTTGTCTTGTGGCAGCGTCACATTCATCCCCTCAAACATGAATGTTAGAGTGGGCACGACAATCGGGACCGAGTAACACGTGTCAAACCCGCCTAGCGATGACAACGCCGCCTTTCCCATTCGCCGCCGGAACTCATCTCGGACGGCCGTGTACGCCGGTGCCACCAATCTTGTAAAGACGGTGCCTGCTCAGAAAAAGGAGGGTCAGAGAAACAAAAGAAATGCATTATTACTATATTCATGTGGCAAAAGTGGCATGCCCAATAATTCATGGTCCCCTAAATTATTGGGGCACGATATGACACACTGTTTCTATATATTACTTTAAAACTAATCAAACAAGAGGATCGAATCCGATTATTAAAAAAATGAATAAACGAAATTGGAAACCAGCTAGGAGACAATTCGGTGGATGGAGAAATTATTGAATTCCCGGAGAATGTTTTATTTGGTTGTTTTTTTTGAAGTGTAATTTGAGTGTAATTTGAGTATAGTTTTTGAGTTGAATTTGAGTTATAACTTGAGTTGAAATTATAACTTAAATAAAGTTAAATAAAGTTGAATAAAGTGAGAATTTAAAAGAACGTGAACTTAAATAAAGTTGTAATTTAAGTTTAAAATTTTTCTGAGTTTTGTTGCAAAAGAACAACTCCTAAGTGGAATCAAGACTATTTCCCCTCATGTGCTCTAGCGACAATATTAAACACCCAAACATTTTAAATAGGATTTTCATGGCCCACAAAAATGACCACCAAATTTTTAAGATCGCCTATGTTGGTGTTACGTGTTTACCACTACAATTCTTGTCTCTCTACTCTGTTGTATAATAGTAAATGGATCTTACATAAGCTAATCCAATAAAATGTGATTCCTTTAAAAGCGCCACCAGTTAAGAGTATTGTAGTGCTCTCTCTTTTTTTTTTTTTTTTTTTTTTTTTTTTTTTTTTCCTTTAAAAGCTAAAACACCTTTTGATATGAAACTTTCTCTAAGGACATGAAAATAAAGAGAGTTTTTCTAGTGGTACCATGAAAAATTAACTATCGGTAATTTTCTGTTCTTATCCGTTAAATTTGTATCGCACCCTGTATATTATGTATATATTTTTTAATTTTAATTTGAGTTTTAACCGGATTTAAAGAAACCGAATTAACCAATAGGGAGGACTTATAAAATTTTAAAAAAATCAAAAAGCATAAAAAGCTTGATAATCTCTTACCAGAATCAATGACGGTGCCAGCACCAGTGGTTGGGTTGAATGCCAGAGCACTGGGAGGGATGTCCACAGTTCTCCGGCCAACCTTGATTCCCCGCAGGATAACATAATAAAGCGACGATCTCCTTGGATTTTTGAGCAAAGGAGTATACTTTATCCTTTTGGGCTGTCCAATAGGCCCAAGTCTTAGCGACCCAGAAAAGTTGAGGGCCTTGAAGCTGGGCAAGCAGTAAGAGAATGTGGACTGGTAGAGACTTTGGGTCTGCGATAGAAGCGATAGTGGGCCTCGGCCCAGGCCCAACAAGCCCTGAGGTGGGACCGAAGTGCCTGTGGCTTTCTTGATGCAGCCGAAGGTGTAGGCTGGGACAGGGTCAGTGGCGAGAGTGAGGGTGTCTTGGGTCAGGTCAGCTGCTATGCTGGACCCACCATAGGTCAAGTTGAAACCGCACGCGCTGCCATCGCAAGTAGGGTTGGGTACCTGAAAGTTCACGGGCACCGTTTGCAGATTAGATACCACCCTTCAGAAGGGTGGTGGTCATGAAATGTCCATTTTGGTGTAGGTTTTTTGACCCGTGAACTCTTTTTAGTCGGTCAGGACAGAAACTTCAGAAATTGAGATAAAAGTTATAGACAAAAGTTACTTTCATACGACCCTTCTCGAATACACTATGTACGGTTTTTAAGAAAAGCTTATTTTAGTCACGGTTTGGTATAAAGATTCTGATCTCATAATCATAATTATTGATCTCATAATCATAATTATTGATCTTATAATCATGATTTCAAGTTTAAATTAATATTTATTTATACAAACCCATAATTCTAGTTATGATTTAAAAATTATAATTTGTACATAAAATTATGAATCATGATTCTGATTTTAAAATTAAAATTAGAATTACTTTAATTTAAACTCTAGTACCAAACGAATCCTAATAAGACGTTTGGTTGGAGGATTCAAATCATGTGATTCGAACTATTTTCGATTTATGTGAATTTTTTGTGAGAGAAAATACTGTAGCAAACCACAAATCATGATTCAAATCAGGGAACGAATCTATCTACCAAACATCCTTTTAATAATTCCACCTTTGCATTAAGTCAAAATAACTTAATTTTGTGAACCATCTAGTTGTGTATTTTTGCTAAGAACTATCTAGGTGCCCTTCTGTAAAATGAAGGGAAAAAAACCAAAGAAAGAAAAGAGAGATGTGATCGGTTTTGTTCATGCATAACCGTACAATTTAGTGCCCGTCCAGTTGACGTATTTAAAACTATAATTCTAATTTTATTACAATATTTTTCTTTTATAAAAGATTTGAATTAAAAAAATTCCTATCAATAATTCTCCCATAAAGTTCCAGCAACTAAATTAAAATCACTTACTTTACTTGAATCATGAATCAAACGGGACCATAATAACAAAAAATCACCTCTTCAGCAAAAGGAAAAAAAAAAAAAAAAAGGAAGCTAATACGTAATTACCAAAATGGATCTGTTTTACTTTACCATTGTTCAAGCCAATAAACCATAAGTATTGATACTCCCAATTCCAAACTACAAAGCTCTTGTGAAAAATCAAACTAGCGATGAAATGTTGAGTGATTTATGATATTTAATAGCTACTCTTTTGTCTTAATTACAAAAAAAAAAAAAAAAAAAAAAAAAAAAAACATCTGGACTTTATTCATCTAGCTCCCTAATTACAGTCCAATTTGTAATCGACAATAACAATATTGTAACAAAAACCAGTAATATACAAAAAAAAAAAAAACAAAAATAAAAAGTCAAGGCTAATGTGATAATTTATTGATACTCATACCTGCTTGCACTGAGCAGCAGAGCACGGAAGGGGCTTGTAAGAGGTCGACTTGAGGGGCGAAAAGACGGTGGAAGAGCAGCCGAGGCAGCCGTCGCAAGGAATCCAGGCAGCGTCGTTGCTGGTGTCCAGAGCCAAGAGAAAAGCCTGCGGAGGCGTCCCAATCTTGGCCCTCACAATGTAGGTGGGGCTCTGCACGATCTGCCTCCCGGAGGCGATCGGCACGACGGACTTGCCGGCCACCGCCAGGCTCGACAGGTACTGCAGCCGGACCTTGTCCTCGGCCTGCATTTGGAGCACGCTCTCCTCCCATGACGCGGCGGCGTGCGGCGGCCGGAGAGGAGAGCAGGGGCTGTAGACGTGGAAGACCTGGAGGGTCGAGCCCTGGTCTTGCCGGCTCCAGCACTTGGCCGCTCGGGCTTCGCTGGCCGTGACCAGCAGCAGCGCTAACACTAGTAGTGTGGGGAGTAGGGCTTTCATGGCTGGCTTTACTATTATTGAATGTTTTGGTGTTCTTGATGCTTTAATGTACATGACTGAGACTGACTGACTCTAATTATGTACACACATATATATTGCTAGTGTAAGTGCCGTTCTGTAATTTCTACTTTTTGGATAGACAGGTTTGTAAATTTACATCAAGTTCTCTTAAACTTAGGGTTGTTCATGGGTTGGGTTAGTGCGGGGTATAATTTTTTCTTCTCGTACCTTAAAAGGTACGGGTTGCACATATTTAACCCCGATGATTTTAAAAAAATTTCATAGCCTAATGATATTTGGGTTGGGTTGGGGCAGTGTGGGATGGGTTAGGTGGTCGGTTTCAATATTTAAAGAATTAAACACTCAAAGTTCAATCCAACATTCAAAGTTCATCATCAAATAGAAATAATAACTCTAACATTTAAACATATAGAAATTCAAAGTTCAATCCAACATGAAGCAAAATAGTTCATCCAACATCAAACATAAATTAGTCTACATTCATAAATTAGTCTTAACATAAAGCAAACATAGAGGCTTAATTCAAACATGAAAAAACTAGAAAGTATAAATGAGTTGCATGCATAGGATTAGATATTAGAGGAGACAAGTTAGAGCGCGGGTTGGGTTAGGGTGTGCAGGCCATTATAGGCCCAACCCACACCTACCCCAAAACTTCGGGTTGAATGGGCAAAAAAAAAAAAATGTAATACTAGAAATTGTATTTTTCAGGTTAGGTTGGGGTGAGGTAGGTTTGGCCTGCGGGTTTTGCGTATTTATGAACAGCCCTACTTAAATTGTGATATGCTTTTTGGACCTAATATGATTCTGATTTTAATCTAATTGTAATTTGTGTTTTACTAATAAAGTTTTTTCTTCATACTCTACCACGTAAATATGCTATAGTACATATGAAAGAATGGTGTCTTCAAAAGACAGACTCAAAATATATTATATGTGTATGTATGCATGCAAGTGTCAATATCTATTTTTCAGTATGAATATATGTATGTATGCAAGTGTCAATATCTATTTTTCAGTGTTTTTCTCTCTTTCTTACCAGATAATTCTTTGGCATCATGAGAAAAAGAGAACTTGGAACCATCGATTTTGAACTTCTTAGGACTCGGTTTAGTTTGTTGATTCGAATTTGTAATTCGAGTTGAGATGTGATTTTCTATGAGAGCTTTTTACTGTAGTAAAAAAGTTAAATATAACTGTTTATAAGAACTTTTTACTGTAACAAAACTCGAATTCTAAATTTGAATCGGTGAAGTGAACGGAGCCTTAAAGTAGTAAAACCATCAGCTATTATCACAGTTAAGAGGGTCATTTAAGTCTTTTTAAAGAAAAAGGGAGATCTGTGATGGTCATGTGCGGAAAATCATCTGACAATTTATCAAAGCCCTTCATTTGCAAATGTTTTAACACTTCGGTTTGCAAAAATTAAAAGAACAGAACCATGTTACCTACATTACAGTTTGTTATGGAGCTAACTGCAAAAACAAAAAACAATGTCAAATTTTCAACAGTTTCTACTAAGCTGCCAGACCCATTGTTATCTAATATAATTTCGAACCAACATTTCAAAATAACATCTTATCGGTAGAGATTTTTTTCTCATACCATACCCATATGAACTAATATTTAAAACTTCGAATTATAATTCGTGACTCATTACAATATTTTTTAAAAAAAAAATACACATAAAATAAAAATAATTTTAAATATATAAACTAAACGCTCACGTGTCCCATTTTACCCCATGAATTCAACAATATCTTGACAAAGCATGGATGGGATCAATGTGATTTCCTTTTTTTCTTTCGCTTTATTATTGTCACTTACACGTGTGTTTGTATCACTAGTAGAATAGGAGTATATGTATAGTTGGGTTGACAGCGCGTAGACTTAGTGGGTAGTGTGCCTATAAACAGACTGTATTCCATTTGCGTTCTGCTTTTTGCAGGATGGGGTCGGTCCTTCTCCTTCCTTCCCACAATTGCGACACTCAATCACGGGATAATGTCTTCTTTTATTATTACTCTTCACTATCATGTATTGAACTCTGTATGTGAACACTTGCACTCCAGAGAAATGATGAAATTCTATGATGACTTGGAACATGCTCCAAATTCAAAGACAAATAACAAAAAGAAAAAAATAATATATATATATATATATATATAGCCGACAAGTCCCCGTTACATTTAAAATTTAAGTTTTATTATAGAAAAAAATTCTCATAAATAGTTATATTTAATTTTTTTATTACGGTAAAATTTTTTTTTAAATAATTACATCTAATTTTTTTATTATAATAAAAATTTTCACATAAAGTAACATTTTAATTTAAATTAAAAATTTAAATTAACGAACTAAACGAATCCTTATGATATCAAGTGCTCATAAATAATAAATACCATAAATTTTCTTTTAATTATTAGTTCTTAAGAAAGGATAACTCGGTGAAGTCCACTTATTATAAGTTATAAAAAAAAAATTTAAACTCAAGTTACAGCTTTATTCAAGTTCATGTTCTTTTATAAAATTTGAGTTTTAACTTGAGTTTGGGCTAAAATCTGAGTTCAAGTTTCTCATTCAACTCAAGTTAATGAACAATATTTTTTCTATTCTTAAAAACACCATAACTTTTTCGTTTTAATTCCGATTGAGATAATTTTGTTTCTATGCGTTCACAACGAAGAGACGAATAAAACATCATCTATATACCATATTAAAAATTTTCATCACCATTGGGTTTTTATTAAAATACTATATAAATACAAATTTAAGTTTTGACCCACCCAAACACAAACTCAAATAGATTCTCAATTCAAACTATAACTCAAATGTGCACATCCAAATACAAACTCAAGTTACAACTTCAACTCAAGTTATAATTCAAATTTAACTCAAGATCTATACTCAAATCACCATAACTCAAAAATACAACCGAACAAGTCCATTTTTGAGTTTTGATCCAAAAGAACAAATATAAGGTAAAGACTTTATACTCTATAGGTTATCTGTGTTCTTTGTTTTTGTGTTTTTATCAAAAAATGTAACACAAATTAGGGAACACAGTAACAACTGAATTTTTACCCTGGCGATAACAACTACTATTTAAACTAGATAGACATTTGGTTAATGGATCAGAATCATAAGATTAGAATCATTTTTGATTTACGTGTATTTTTTATGAGAAAAAACACTATAACAAATCATGAACCATGATTCGAATCGGGGTCCCAACCAAACAACAGAATTTTTATATTAAACATCTATTAAGAGGATGTTTAGTAGATGGATTCGTTCCTTGATTCGAATCATGATTCGTAGTTTGTTACAGTATTTTCTCTCATAAAAAATACACGTAAATAAAAAATAATTTGAATTACATAATTTGAATCCTCGAACCACCAAACGTGAGCCTCCTTAATACAATATTGGAATTTGGAAGCTGTTTATATATATATATATATATATATATGGTGTTGTTTTCATATATACCTGGCAATATGTCAGAGATTTTAATGGGAAAATGGGAGGAAAGAAACAAAACTCCCCGTCACACACATGCGCAGGTATAAAAGCTAATCTGCTTTTTCTCTCTTTCCC